CACGCACTTCCACACTTATGAAACTTTTATTTTCAAATATTGGTTTTATAGGGATTTCGTTTGATTGGTTAGAGGATTTCATCATGAACTGACATCAGTTATAGAACGATCGGAAAACCAGCTGAGAGTACTGGACAGCTGTTTCATCCTAGTTTAAGACTCCTCGGCAGTTCACACCCACCGCCAGGGTTAGAAAACATGACATTCTGGTTACAAGGTGAGCTAGCTCGTAGACCATTAAGCCACTCATTGGAACCCAATCCAATAGCCAATCCATGAATTCTAACTTCTTCCAATTCATGACATAGTGCAACCACTTCTCGATGTCTTCTTCGCTGAATTACTACCTCATCTTCAAACTGCTGTCCCCTTGTGGTCACTACTTCTCGCTAGGACCTTAGATCACTGCCTGAATTGGGCTAGTCGCTAGTGAGCAACTTCAAGTTTGCTCATTTCATCTTTAGTTTTAATAGGTAGTAAATAAGTGTTATCTTATGTTTGTAATCTTATATGATTTACAGAAGGGAACAGAATTCTTTGTTGGCCTATTTCTAGATCAATTCAATCATTTTTGTCGGGTCTTATTCTATCATAATAATGTTGTAATTACTTTATTCTGTAGTTTCACATCTCCAAAACCTTAGAAGTATGAATCTACCTATTATCTTTTTTTATCTGTTAATTCTACTTTGGTTTGTTTTGAGTTCGTCAACATCTGTTGTTATTGTTGTTGATTATTCCTATGATACAATCTTATTTTATTATTATTGTTTTTTGAGTGTAAAGCGAAAACTCCTAAAACTCGAATGGTACAAACATTTATTCATATAAAAAATGATTTACTGAACCGCTGTCTTGCTTGAAGTTATTTCGAACTACGGTGACCAGCAGTGGAATTTAAGTCTAGTGGATAATGCTTAAACATTTGAAAAGATGGATGTAGTTTTTGCGTGTCAGCGCAAATGAGATCACTCACTGAGAGTGCAGGTATATGCAGCTGAAGACTCCTGGATAGGACGAAATGAGCTTCTTAGTTTCTACTGCTAGTCACATTAAGCCTTAGACACAGTGGAAGCATGGAGACTAGAAGCAGATATTCCAACAAAGACCGATCATTTCGGTCTAGAATAATTAATAAAGTTTAACTTTTGAAAAATAATACTACTTTTCTGTGTATATAAGTTGACATTAGTTGAAGAACCATTCGAAAAGGAGGGAGTAATAAACACCCGTTTTGTCCTAGTTCGACAGAAGTTGGAATCCATTTGTATATTCAATCGAATTTCTGCAGTTAAATGGGCCACTAGCTTGCTGAATAATCTGAAAGTTCTTGTTTTTCAAGCCTGGTGGATGTGTCCCACTGAAGAACTCCAAACTAGGACGAAACAACTGTCTAATACTTCTTGGTTTTCCAGTCGTTGTCAAACTGATATCAGCCTGTAATCAAACCTGTAACCAATCAAATCCCTGCAGAAGTAACGCTTGATAAAGTGTATATCACTCTTGAGAAATAGAATAAGATTAGGATGAGAAAGAGGCTTATGTTTTACTTCTTTTTCTTCAACTCTCAGTAATTTGACATTATTTTGGAGTACTTTACATTTGTATTTAAGTGTATATTCAATAATTTTTGGCTTGAATCAGACAGTAAAATAAAAGAGCACGTGACAAATGATATTATCTGTACTGTACTCAGGTTATTTTTGCAATTTTTTATACAACACACGATAACATTTCACAAGTCAAACTGGGAAAAGTTTATTTTTATCTTGTCTATGGTATTTTACAATCTTATAAAAATAACAAACATAATTCTCTGGTAGTTTCCTTTTTCTGCTGGACCACCGTCAATTCATCATTTCGGTTCTATTATAAATATTATTCTTGCCTGATTAAAGGTTAAACCTTTTATAATATTGAATTTTGCTTCCCTACCTATATACATATATATATATATATATATATATATATATATATACCCGTACTTTGCTTGTCTTTAACAAAAGATCAAATATATTCCCTAAGTGATAATGCTTGAATCAAAGTAGTCTTCATCATAGATTGACGTCATCTATGGAATTTTCCCCTTCGCTGTCAGAGGAATATAAATCACAGCCTATTTCTTTGTTAAGATTTGAGATTTCTCAGAAATCAGTGCTGCCTGATCTGATAATGAAATCAATGCAAATCACGTTGGATCGGTTAGGCGGTTTTTAATGTTCAACCAGATGTTTTTCCAATTACTTCTTTGAATGATACTTTTTTTGTTGCTTCAGAATAAATGCTTTGACGTGCTGAAAAAATCTTCTTGTACATAGCTTGTAAACAACACGGGCTACTACTGAAGTGTAGTTTTTGTGTAGTTGAATACAATCTTTTCAATAAGATGATGTTTTCGTTGCATTTGTGATAATACCAAATCTTGAATTACACCTTAATGTATTTGTATAGTAGTAGTAATGAAAGAGAGAGAGAATGAAAGGAAGCAAACATGTTTCATTAGAAAAATATCGGTCAATATCTTCTTGGTACACAGTATCCGCTTTACACCTCCATCTCTCCGAAGGCCATATGACAGCATGACTACTGTATTTAGTTAATTACACACATATTGATAAAATTCATCTGTTACATAACTATTACTGTAGTCGGTAAAGCCTCCCACTGTGAAATGACCTATTTAACAATCAAAAGGTTAAAATTATGCCAAAGTTATAAGTTTTACAGGAGAAATTTTTAATTGTATGTCATATTAAATTGTATCGGTATGCCATGTATAGGAAAGTGTTTAATGCTTGATCTCGAGGTGAATAGGATCACAGGTTCGAATCTTTAAACAGTTTAGACTAGAATTGATCGATTAATTAATTAATTACAATACTTTATTTTTTTGTCTGTTCTATTATTTTTTTATTACTTTTATCTTGTTTTAATTTTCGAGTTCCATTTTGTACTGTCTTCTCTATTTCCACTTAACTAACTTGTAGACGTATTTTATGTAACCAGTTGAATTGACTACGCAACAATGTTTATTCTTGAAGAAAATGAAAATAATAAGACTCATAGAACAATATTTTCTTTTTATCAATGAAGTCGTCTTTAAAGTTTTTTGTACAGTAGTGTTTACATTTACTAAGAACGTATGACAATCCATTAGTTTTAGTTATAAGGTTGAGTGACTTGGAAAGATACAATTAGTCAGGTGTGATTTGAAAGATAGGAAGAAATTACAATAATAATTACCGACACAATGGAAGTAAATATTTGTAATTTGTTGAGGCGAAACATGTTTTTAGATAATAAGCAAAGTGACTGGATGTGTCCACGAGGCGTATAGAGGTTGAAAATGAGCCAGTAAAATGAACAGAAAGAACTTGTGAGACCGATAATAATGAATTACTCACTATAAGTAGAAACGAACTAGTAGGGATGAATCTAAGAATCTGTTAGAATGACAAACTGAGCAAGCTTTTTCTGCACACAGAGTTCGTGGTTATGCTGTCGAATAGTTAGCGTCTCCATCATAAACAAGTGCTGAAATATAACACTCCTTGTACAATTTGGCTGTACCTCTTAGATAACTTCAATAAAGGATTCCGTTTGAACCACATAACATGAGTTCTCATGTTGTTTGACAATCTAGCTAGTAATTGACTTGCATTGTATCTTTGACAACAATTCAAGATAATTTTCGGAGATGAGATGGGAAATGTGCACTTCGTATTGCTGATATTACCAGGTCGACAGGAGCCAGTAAATCACACATCTGTAGATCATTCGTAGATGGTAAGAACTGATGTGTAGCTCGGTAGAAAAAACTGATTTTTTCAAAGATCTAATTATTCGGTGCTCCGAAATCTCGGCCAAGGTATCTTCTTTAAATTCAAGATTTGTAAGTATCAACCTCTGTGCCACCGTGTGGATTCTTTCACGTTGAATCACATAATATAGTTCCACACTAATTTGTTTATTCGATATATCAAACAATGAGTCATTATTCATTGAATCCAGTAAAACTGTTTCACTGTGAAATATACTTAATAAACAAATTAATATTAGTCATCACATAATATCACAGTGTCTAGATTCATTTTGTAGAGAGTGTATGAGTCTCTTCAATCCCTCATGATGTTAAATGTAATTTTTATAACGTCTCTATATCTCTACTGATGAAAGTGTTCTCCATTAAATTAGTTCTAATGATTTTTGTGTTTCAAAATTAATTTATCTTGCAATGAGATTAAAATTACAATTCTTTTTTCTGTATTTAATTCTTACAAAACGTTGAATTTCTATAAAATTCTGTGGGAATTGTTTTTACTAGATCACTCTAACTACATTAAACACTATTTTAATTCATAACTTTATTTATAATATACGTTGATGTTTCACTAGTAGACTGCTCGCCAACTACGAACATGATCCGGGTTTGATTACCGACAGTCTGCGATGAGTCCCCCATTTTCAGTCATCTCTCTGATTGCTTCTCGATTCATAATTAGTTCTCTTCCTGGTCCCAGTTTGGCGTTCATGTCGTTCACTAAAATTTTAATGTCACCAACTGGAGTATTGTCCACTGTTGTCTGTAGTAGCCTGTAGAACTTTTCTTTATTTTCTAGGTCCGCCTTGTTTGTGGGTGTATAGCATTTTCAGTTGAATTTGGTGGTCATTATCTTGGACGAGATCACCTCCCATTGTATCATGGCCTTCGATGCTGTTGGTAACATCATGATAACCACGCCCTTGGTGGTGTGTTCGGGGTTGTCGCACTCAGTCGGTAGCAAGACCGAGATAGGGAAGCTTAGCCTTGAGGCTGTCAACCCGATCGCCTAGAAATAAACACCACTGTCCTATATCCCACTGGGAACACATAAGAATAAAAATGTTTTTCAAAAAAAGCACTTATAATATATGTTATTGAATTTGATACAAATTTGAGTTTTAGATGGGCCATTGAACTAACTTCTGTTTTTTTTTTATTAACGAAATTCTCTAACTAGGTGATTTACTACCAGCTGATGGTGTAATTCTTCAGAGTAATGATTTAAAAGTTGATGAAAGCTCACTAACTGGTGAACCAGATCAAGTGAAAAAGGGTGAAAATAATGATCCAATGCTTTTATCAGGTTAGTTTAATTTTTTTCTTATGCATGAATTTTTGAGTATATTATATATATATATATATATATATATGTTAAAATCCATAAAAAGAATATTTTATTCACAGGAAATAAACTATACAACCAACTATTTCTACTAAAATGCCAATTTTATGTGTGTTTTAAAAAAAAAATTCTATTTGAACTCTCCATAAGAACAATGAACGCGGAAATTCTTCTTCTGATAAGGAGGCAGTGCTTTTTTGCTAAAAAATAATAATAATACTGAAACGGAATCGCATCATTTGAATAAGGTCATTGTAGAAAATGTTTGTGTTTTTTTTTTGTTAAAAATACATATATTTATATACATATTTCAGGATTTTTATAAAATTTCTGTTTCATCTGCTTATTTTCCGAGAAAAAATTGTACTAAAGGTATTAAAATCTTTGATAGAATATTATTTTTAAAAAAATGGAATATTTCTAGTTGTGTTAGTGATAATTAGTCAGTGAAACTCAGTCAGTTAGTGCCTTATCCTTTGAAGTGATGTAATGACCTAGATATTTAGTTAAATTACAATTAGTGAATTTCTGTATTCTTACCTAAAAAATGCAGTCAGTTTTTTTTGAGGTCTACTTTTTAATCTAAAAATAAACATATTAGTTATCAATATGTGTAATAACTATTTTCAATAATTAGTTTGTACACATACGGTTTTTTCTATAGTTTGGTTTGTAAGGGTGTTAGTTTTGTTTTTTACGAGTTGATCGCGGATTGATATCAGTTAGAGAACCTTTGAAAACCAGGGAGTACTGGACAGCTGAGTGCGTTATTATTATTATTATATCCTCTAATTCCTAGAGGAACATAGGGCTTCAGCTGCACGTCTCCATTGCCTTCGGTTTTCTGCCAAATTTTTCACCCTGCTCCAAGTCTGCCCACATGCTTTCATCTCCTCTTCCCATCACCTCCTCCAAGTCAACCTAACACTGATGACCAACTCGCCGCTCTCCTTTCGGGTTCCACTTGAGCAATGGCTTGTCTAGTGATGTCACTTGATGGTTTTCTCAGCGTATGACCAATCCAATCCACCTCCATTTCTTCCTGCCTATTTGTTTCACAGTCGGTTCCTGGTTGGTTCACTCATTGCCAGAGATCCCTCATTATTGGTGATCTTTTCCGGCCGGCCGTCTGATCTTGAGTATTGAGCGAAGACAGCTATTGATGAAGGTCTGAAGTTTGTTTGAGATGCTCTTCATGACGCGCCAAGTCTCTGATCCGTATAGTGAGTAGCACTGACTGACTTCACATTGGAGTCGAAAATCCGGATTTATTTTTGATGCTGAGTGCTGTTGACCTCCACACAGACTTAAGAGTAATGAAAGCTTGTCTTGCTTTCCCGACCCTTACTTCGATATCCTCGTCAGTTTTACCTGTAGTTGAAACTATGCTTCCTAGGTCTGTAGATAAAGGATGTTGTTTCTTTCAGGTTCCTCCCATTTATGCTGATTGTTGTCTGTTGTTGTTACTGTTGGCCAGGAATCTTCATCACCTCTGTTCTATCTGGGTGCGTACTCCTGATGATTCCCAGACTAGGATGAAACAGCTGTCTGGCAGTACTCCCTGTTGGTTTTCAATGGTTCTATAACTGATATCAATCCGTAATCAACTCTTAAAAACAGACGGTTTTGTTTTTAAAATTTGATCATGGATTCATATAAGTTAGAAGGAACTGTTGAAAACCTAGGAGTATTGTGCAACTGTCTCGTCCTAATTTGGGACTGCTCAGCACTACACACTCGCTGATTGAATCAAGAACCTTCAGGTGACCAGGTTAAGTCGTTGATTATTCAAACATCGGAGCGGAATTCAATCTGTGATCGAATCTGAAATAAATCAAATTCCTACAAACTAACTGTTTAAATTCAACTGAGTGCTTCCTAGTGAATGACTTCAGGATGAAGTTGTCTGGAATTCCAGGGAGAAGTAGTGACCACTGGAGTCCATCAGGTCGGGTGTGGAGATAAATACTGGTTGATGACATTGGCTCGTGGTTGCCCGAAAATCTCGAATTGACAGAAGTTATAACTGATAGGCACTGGATTCATTTTCAGGGGTTGAAAAATTAGCGAGGTTCTGGGTTCAGTCGCTGGTGGGGACATTGGTGCGTACCGCTGAAAATTCTAAAAGTAAGATGAGACAGTTGTGCATGACTCCGTGTTTTTCAGTGGTTCTCTAACTGAAGTCAATCCATGATCCACCCATGATATAATTATTTTATTCCTTAAGAAGTTATAGTTAGTGGTCTTAGCAAATAACTAAGTTATAAAAATGTAGACTTTTATGACGGACTGATATCATTTATCAAGTATTGGTTTTGTAGGGATTTTGTTTGATTGCATGGAGGATTTAATCATGAGCTGATATCAGTTAGAGAACCACTGGAATACCTGGGAGTACTGGATAGCTGTTCCGTCCTAGTTTGGGACTCTTTGGCAGTACGCACCCACCGGGATTCGAACCCAGGACCTTCTGGTTACAAGGCGAGCTCGTAGACCATTGAGCCACTGGGACCCGATCCAATCGTCCTTGAATTCTAACTTCTGCCAATTCACGACATAGCGCGACCACTTCGCAATGTCTTCTTCGATGAGTTACTGCCTCATCTTCAACCTGCTGTACCCTACTGGGGTTCTAGTGGGAAGCCGTGATCAGTAGGGTACAGCAGGTTGAAGATGAGGCAGTAACTCATCGAAGAAGACATTGCGAAGTGGTCGCGCTATGTCGTGAATTGGCAGAAGTTAGAATTCAAGGACGATTGGATCGGGTCCCAGTGGCTCAATGGTCTACGAGCTCGCCTTGTAACCAGAAGGTCCTGGGTTCGAATCCCGGTGGGTGCGTACTGCCAAAGAGTTCCAAACTAGGACGGAACAGCTATCCAGTACTCCCAGGTCTTCCAGTGGTTCTCTAACTGATGTCAGCTCATGATTAAATCCTCCATGATATCAATTAGATGCTTAGGAAATAGTAATCATTGAAGAGTCACTTTTTAATGATGCCTCAACTGATCGAAGTCTTTGAAGAAATCTACATGCAAATTAATCGAAATATCTACAAAATACAAGCTGTATATATGAGAAACCGGTTCATTATTGTCCTAAATTTCCTGTGAAAACTCGTCATTAGTATGAGTTATCATGTCAGGTGTTAAGCGGATACCCATCAGTTACATTGATTGATAGCTTCACTGTTATGATGAACTGACAGAGGCTAAAGTTTCATGTGTCACCGAATTCCAAATTAGATGATGTAAATGGTCAACAGGATGACCTCCTTAACTAAAAGTCCTGGATTCTTTCCCTGGTGATGATGATGACAAACTGCTAAAATGTCCCGAACTAGAATGAAATAACTGCTCAGTGCACCCTGGTTATTCAGTGATATCAGTTTATGACAAAATTTACTTTGAGGAGAATCATAAAATCCGTAAATTCAAAACGTAGAAGAATTTGTTGTTTTCATTTTCCATAAGTTCACAATTCAAATGACAACACTAATTTGGTTGTCGATAACTTTATAGGTAGTTGAAAAAACCAGTAATGAAAACTACTGGGTGGGTAGAGGAAATATTAAAAACAAGTGTACATATACTGCATTTAATCATAACAACAGTCAAGTTTTAGCTAGGAATTCAATCTTCATTGTGTAATATCGAAAAATCTCTTTTAGGTAGTGGTAATGCAAAATGAATGTTTTGCCCGAATTAAAATATCACGCGAATCGATGTTCTAGGTTCCATTGATACTTTTTCCATCCTTGTGAATAATGAACTGTTTCTCTTAAATTACTCGAATAATGCGAATGACTAGGCTGTCGTTTACGCGTTGGTGGCTGAGTGGTGAAACACTCCCCGACCACGTAAATGGTCCAGGGTTCAACTACCGGCCGACGAACTCTTAAACCTCATTCAGCCGGTAGTATGACGGATACAGAGAAAAAGTTGGGCTTAAGGCTAGCAACTCCGACTCGGAAAAAGGGACACAGCTGCTTATGAAACTCTAAGGCTCCAAAGTTTGAAGTCGTATGTTCCACTCAGAACGCAAAGGAATAAAATAATGTATAAGTAAGCTACCGTTTATAAGAGACTTTAAACAGAAGAGGCAGCACTTTGCAATGATTGTGATGGTAACATTGAATCCATTGTTGATAATGAAGTTTAAGACTAACTCTTTTCTTCTTTTTACCAGTCACTTGCGTTCCGTGGGCATCATAGGGCTTCAAGCTTCAACTCAGAAGTTTCAATAGTTGTGGTGGTGTTGCATGTATTTTGCAGGGAGGTGTTACAAACTTATACCCAACCTTCCCTCTTTATCAGGATCACTATCGGTTAAGCGAAGTTGAAAAGTGTGTCAATAAGGAATCGAATCCGGACCATGTCCGCAGTTGGCGATAATTCTACCGCTGAACTAACGACGCACTCTTTTCTCCTTAGTTTGCTTTGAATAAAGAAAACCAGTTTTTCTGTCGAATCCAGTTAAAATGAAACATAATCTTGTTTCCCTTATTATTGGATTCAAAAACTGCAAATGAAACTGCAAACATATTCATATCCATTAGCTAAATTTGTCATCAATAAGAGATTTGATTAACACCTGTTGATATCAAAATGAAAGGATAACTTTATAATAAGTCGGCATATTTAAAAGTGATAACGGGATATCTTAAAACAAACGATTCACTAAATATTCACATGTCATTCATCATACAATTAATAAAAAACAAAACTGTGAAATTTCCCAGGGATATAATTACATAGCAGTTATGGTGCATTAAATAACAGCAATTTAGGCGTCGGTGGCACAGCGGTTAGGACGCTCGCCGACCATGCATATGGTTTGGGGTTCGATCCCCGGCCGACGAGGCACTCCTTTACATCGCCAAGCCAGAAATAATGCTGGTAAAGAGGAAAGGTTGGGAATGAGGCTAGCAACCCCATCCTGTAAAAAATAAAGACTGCTACAGA